TCCATCCATCCATCCATCCATCCATCCATCCATCCATCCATCCATCCATCCATCCATCCATCTATCTATCCATCCTTTTCTGCTTGTTCCAAAGTCAGGTTGTTGGGGCAGCAGCTTGAACAGGGAGGTCCAGACATCTCTTTCCACAGCCACCTCTTCCAGCTCTTCTGGGGGGATCCCAAGGCATTCCCAGGCCAGCTTGTACTGGGTCTTCCCCGAGGTCTCCTTCCAGTTGGACATGCCCAAAGCACCTCCCTAGGGAGGCACCCAGGAAACATCCTTACCAGATGCTCGAACTACCTCAACTGGTTCCGCTTGATTTGGAGGAGCAGCAGTTCTGTTCTGAGTCTCTCCCGGATGACTGAACCTCTCACCCTATCTCTAAGGGAGTGTCCAGCTCTGCGGAAGAAACTCATTTCAACCGCCTGCATCCGCATTCTCATTATTTCGGTCACTACCCAAAATTTGTGACCATAAGTGAGAGTAGGAAATTAGACCAACTGGTAAACAGAGAGCTTTGTCTTACAGCTCAGCTTCCTCTTCACCACAACGGACCGGCACAGAGTCCGCAATACAGCAGTCACTGCACCAATCCGTCTGTCAATCTCACGCTCCATTCTTCCCTCACTCGTGAACAAACCCCCAAGATACTTAAACTCCTCTACTTGAGGCAGAACCTCACCCTCGACCCGAAGAGAGCAATCCACCCTTTGCTTGTTGAGAACCATGGCCTCAGATTTGGAGGTGCCAATTCTCATCCCAGCCGCTTCACACTCGGCTGCGAACTGCTCCAGTGAGAGCTGAAGATCAAGGCACGATGATGATGCCAACAGGACCACTTCATCCACAAAGAGCAGAGATGGAATCCTGAGGTCACCGAACACGAATCCCTTCGCCCCCTGACTGCACTGAGAAATTCTGTCCATGAAAGTTATGAACAGAGTCGGTGACAAATGGGCAGCCTTGGCAGAGACCAACTCCCACCATGAAGGAGTTCGACATTTTTCCTTTTTCCGAAAGGAAAACCATGATGTGCAATCTCCTGCAGTATATATAACTCAGAGTATGTGTGGTGAACGAGTCTCCGCTACTAACATGATCATTTTAGCTCAATTTCTGTAAAATTGACTGAGTTACAGTGATTTTTAATCATCAGTCAGTTGGCTGTGGTGGGCATCTTGAACTGGGCGGATCAATAAGATGTTCATCTAATGACTATGTTTTCCATGCTTCTTAAAAATTTGTTCAGTGGTTCGTGAAATAATTTTGTAACAGACACAAACACACACAGACATGGCAAAAACATTATTGGTTTACACCAAAATTCAGGAGATAAATACATCAGAGGTTACAGTAATCATCACTGAGCCAAGGGAAGTTGTCTGTTCTATTTCGTATAGGCTTCGCCCTTTAAGGCTGTCACTGATGGGTTTATCCCGATATGCGAAGCATTGCACTGAAAAATTTAATCCACACCCACCTGCTGTGTGGGCCCCACCCGGTCCGTATAAATTACGTTAAGAGCGGGAAATCGGCTCCCATTTTTTCTTCAGCAAGCTAATAGCACTGTCAGAAGCACGAAGAAGGAAAGTTGTGTAGATGACCAACCTTTGTTAAGAATGCTTGGCCCGTCACGTCGACCTCAGGTCGTCCCGGTGAGCTTTCCTCCCCGAGGAGAAGCTGACGAGCAGTCTTGTTTCAAGGTAAGCGCCGAGGAGTATTTCTCAGTGACAGGTCGCTACACGCTGGACAACGCCATCTTGTAATTTTCCTCTTATCGCCGACCCTCGGAGCAAATCGGATGGTTCCTTCGGGACAGGCGGCGCTCAGCTGCAGCCCCCCCGCTGCTCATTCCCTCCTGGAGAGCGTAGTGTCGGTGGAGGGGGGCTGAGTGAATGCTCACCTCATCTCACCTCGTTTCACATCGGCGATCACACCGCTCCTGGTCGATGGCGCCCTCTGGGGTTGCCCGGCGTAACCCAGGAGGCGGCTGACATGAAGGGACCCTTTTTTACACCCCACGCCTTTCCCGCCAGTTCGGATGATCTGGCGGGAAGGTTGTTTTTTCTAGGTTCCATTACGGCTCACCGTCTTGATCCATCTGGCCTCGTTTTCCCAACAGGACATCCTACGGGCGAGACCACAGCCGGTTTTCCTGGTAGATTGGGGGGCTGGTCTACACAGTCCGCACCCATCTCCAGAGCAGGGGTTCACCGAGCGGAAATTCCCTCAGTGCCCCCTGGAGCCGAGCCTGACGGAGGCTTCATCAGAGCAAGATGTCCAGGTGGACCAGCGTCTCGTGCCTCCGGTTAGCGTAACCCAGACGGTGACGCCACTCTCCAACTGAGCTCACCAGCATGCGTTCCAGATGGCCGCAGCGAACAACACGTTACGCTGTTGGCGTACACGTTCAGAGGCGGGAAGAGACTGTGGGCCCTCTGACCTTCAGCTAGCTCCACTCTCATAGCGGCTGTTCGCTAACGATGCTGTCGGCCCCTGCAGTACGCTCCGTCTGCAGGGCAGCTGACGTCATCCCCAACTGGTGCGCCTCTTTTGCTGTCTGCCGCCCTGCATCGCAGCTGGAGAACGAGGTCCCAGAGGTTCTCCTGGCTCATCACTCCACCTTCCTCTCAGGAGAGCTGCAGAAGCTTTTGTTGGAGGGCCTTTTCATCAGCGAGAGATCATTTCAAGATGCTCCACGGCTGCACAACGCCTCCCCAGCTCTGCTATGCCAGCCCCTCCCGTCAGACGTCCTCGGCATCCGGAAGTTCAATTTTTCCCGGACTCTGCCAACAGGGGGCCCTCTAGGACAACAAACAGAGCTCAAGGGAAGATAACCAGGTGTCGGTTTGCTGGAGGTGTGTTGATGACACAAGATGTGGCATAAACATCATTTTATGATGAAGTGTCTTTTAGCCAGGCTGTCAGCACGGATGATCTGACAAGCGGCCCCATCACACACATTCATCACGAATAAGCCTTTTAAGGTAGTTTCATTCACTGCCAGCGGTGCCAACACGCGCTCCCGCGGCACGATCAACCTTCACCTATAAGGCGCTGCATTATGAAAGCGCGCACACAGCTCTCGGCGCCCGCCGTTCATGTCAACGTTAACGTGAGACCACGGTACGAGCCCAGTAACGTATCTCGCTCTCGGCAGGAGCGACACGCGTTTTCATCGCAGTGGTGTCAAACGCGCGCTCCCGTGGCGTCTACAGTTTCACAAGCCTCACAGCGGCTCCGCTCCTTCATCCTCGAAGAAAGTTTTCTGAATTAATACTGCAGCTCGAGGAATCACTCAAAAGCTCACGTGATTCGCAGCCAAGAATGAACGTGTTCTGCAGACCGAGCCCAGTGGTAACCTCGCCCCACCGATGCCGCACACTGCTTCCTGACCGCACCAGCATCAAACGAGCACTCCCGCGGCAATCCTCGCTTAAGGCGTCGCATGAATGAGGGCGCGCACACACAACTCTTCAGGGCACGTCGGCTCATACGTGCACCCGCTCCCCGAGCGTTTACACGGAGCAGCTGCACACAACGTGAGCACAACACAGATGAGCTGCATCCCGCAGCATCAGCAAACGCACAACGATCTGCATGCTCGGGGAGTGCGTTTTTCTTTCTCCTTCAGCGCGCACCAGCTCACATCAGCATGCATGTGAGTTCACAGCATCAACGCGTGCCCGCTTGATAACTTTATAACGAGTGGCAATGAGCGCGCGCTCCAGACGGATAGGCGAATCGTTTTCATCCGGGGATTCACGCTGCAGTACAGCTCAAACCCCAGTGCGAAGGAACTCTAATGACATTTTCTGTCATTTCTAGAACAGATCTTGTCCCCTCTCGCAGAAGCTCAGGAAATTCTGATTTAAATGAAATTTCCAGTCTCAGAAGGAGAAGAAAACGCAGGGTTCCTCTCTTGTCACTCCCTGGTCCCAAAAACCGGAAAGATGAGATTTATTCTAGATTTATCAATTTTGAACTGTGAGAAACAACATTT